GTCACTCACTGTTGGTGCGAGAATCAAAGGTGGAAACTGGAGGGATGTGAGCCAGGACTGTGATCACATCCTGATTTTACAGTCTTTATATATTTTTGAAATCAGAGGACCTTGGAGCCACGCACCCACAGCGTCACACATGGCGTGTGCTGTAAAGTTCCCAAGGCAGCTCAGACATTAAAAGCAGTGTAACCACTTAAACACAGCAGTTTCATGGTACACTGGTGCATGCTAATCAGCACAGCCACAGAATTCTTCTAGCTGACTTGTTCCATTTTGTTTATATTGATTTAAATTTATTTTGATTACCCATGAGCGACTGTTAGTCATACCAATCAATAGGCAGATTAAAAGCATATTGATAAAGATGTTTATGGGTTTAATTTTGTACAATCATTCTACACAGTCCACGTTTAATCTTTTATAAGCAGACTTTTTATAGGAAGGACAAACCTGTATAATTTATCTCCAGCGATTTCTACATATGTGACATATAAATAAGAAAAAGCCTTAGAAAAAAGTGCAAGGAATAGCCATGTACCCTGCTGGAGAACATTCCACCTAAGAGGAGGCTGTTACTGGTGAAAGACGGCTACGTCAGAGCAGAACGATTGGGGATGGGCCGCAGAGACTGGGAGAAGGCCAGAGGAGTTGTTTAAAGTTAACTCTTGGAAGCATTTTCCCCCCACCTGCAGTTTGCCTTCTCTCCACAGAGAAACCTCTACCAGTGATTGAAGTATTTGTTCCACAGCAGTTTAAAAGCAACCTTTCTGCTCTCTCCACAGCAGCCATCCCACACGTTAACGAACGGGGAATCATCCCCAGCCAGGACCACGCATCACTGTAGCACTTACTGCACACAGCCCTGCTGGGATCTTGTCAGCAGGGGCCTGCATGATGCTGACAAGGGTTGGTATCAGCCTCATCTGCATTGGACCCTGGCAGGCTTCTATCTGAGCCAGCTCCTTAAAGATATCCTGGGCAAGAGAAGCAACCACTGGATCTGGAGAGAGAAAGCACCATTTACCAAAACACCCTAACAAACACATCTCAGTTTTTGCTACCATTATTTCAAATAGGCAAAGCAGCAAGTTTCCCTTCTAGCTTTACCACTGAGTGAATCAATGCTCATTCATGTTATCATTTATTAAGTTTTCAGCACCAGGATTCAGCAGCAAAAAACAACCATACTTGAGAAGGTAACTTGAACGCATACCGTTACTGTACTTCAGAAATATTGCAATCGTGAAGGGGCAGATTTTGTTCTCCACACTCGCTGTGAACGCTGGGTCTACCGTACACACAATGCACAGCGTCTCCATCACCAGGTTTAGGACTTCTGAGCTGAACTGAGTTGCCAAGTGGATCAGGCCATCAAGAATGCTGGGAAGGAAAGGCTGCAACACGTGGGTGCTCTCAGAGATCTTCAGCTGGTCGCAGTAGCTAGACAAGAAATTTGTGACACAAAAACAGACACATAATACGTTGATGTGATGTATGCATTTGACTCTAGATGATATATAAGGGGTTATGTCACCCCGTCCATTCTTAGGTTTACTCCTCTAGGACTTTTCCCCTTCGGTCTGCTCTTCCCTGATCTCTCAGCTCAGGTATTTTTCCTCCTCATTCCATCCCCAGTGGTTTCCAGAAGCAGAGTTGAGTCAAGTAATGGTAAAAATTTCTAACACTTCTTAGTAACAGTGCTCTTAAGAGCTGACCAACAATGGAGAAAATAAACCTTGAGGAAAAAAGTAATGAGAGACACACGCTCACTGCTTACAAAGGGTTTACTTCTCCACGTTCTACAAGTGAGCTATGGAAGAAGGATAAAACAATTCCAGGAATAACTAAGTGATAAGTCCCTGCCTTTACGTATTCATTAATATTTCAGTGCAAACAGAAGACAAGATGCTTTTCCGGGGGGGAGACGGTGGGCAAAAGTAGGGTTATTGCAAGTTTTTTCATGCTTTATTTGGTTGTTTTTTGCTTTTACACTAATGCTCATTTTTCACTGTAGAATCAATAAAGATCTTCCTTTTTCCTTCTGACAACTTATTTACAAAAACAGGTTTAAAAAAATCTACCTCAAACATTCCTTATTGCTGTGATTTGCTTCACAAACCCAAGTCACATCATTCAGCCACCTTTGAGACTGAGCAGGAGAAATTAGGGTTTCATCTTTATGCTTTTCATTGCTATCTAACTCTGCTTCTCTTTGGGACTGTAACAATTATAACATTTTATTGTAGCCAACCTTGAATCCCAATTTCACATTCCTCAGTAGAGCTATTATATTTTGAACCTGCTTGCTTACACTTTTAAAGCTGACATTCATTACATTCAATGCAACAACTTTCCAGTCCATGGCACAGGTCTAACACTGACAGCTCTTTGGAGCTATTGGAGCAGGTCCAGAGGAGGCCATGGAGATGCTCAGGGACTGGAGCAGCTCTGCTATGGGGACAGCTGAGAGAGTTGGGGTTGTTCAACCTGGAGAAGAGAAGGCTCTGGGGGGACCTTAGAGCACCTTCCAGGACCTGAAGGGGCTACAGGAAAGCTGGGGAGGGACTTTTTACAAGGGCAGGGAGTGACAGAATGAGGGGTGATGGTTTCAAACTGGAAGAGGGGAGATTTAGACTGGATATGAGGCAGAAATCCTTCCCTGTGAGGTGGTGAGGCCCTGGCCCAGGTTGCCCAGAGAAGCTGTGGGTGCCCCCTCCCTGGCAGTGCCCAAGGCCAGGTTGGACGGGGTTGGAGCAGCCTGGGCTGGTGGAGGTGTCGCTGCCCATGGGGGTTGGACTGGGGGGCTGTGAGGTCCCTTCAACCCAAACCATGCTGTGATTCTATACAGAAATACTAATAACAGTTTAACTACCAGTTTTATAAGTGAAATCCATACCACCTACCGCTGGGGCTTTGGATTCTCTCAGGTTTACTCACCCCCAGATAGCTCTGACTGCAGAGATGCGCACAGACGGAGGCTGGGTTTCGTGCAGACCACTGACCGTGGCTTGCAGGAACTGCTGGATCAGTTCTGGAGACATCGCCACTGTGAAGCGGCTGGCGGCCCACAGAGCTCGACCCAGGAGAAAGGGAGACACTGAAACACAACAAAAAACCCCACTGGCTTTAGAGTCAGTTTTATGAGATTAAAATTACAGCTGCTTCCATCCATTATACAAAATTTTATCATCCCAGCAGAAAAATGGTAAGCTGTGACACAGAGGACCAGTATGCAGGCATACAAAGAATTTCTGTTCATGGCCAGAACGCAATTTATTTTCGTAGTTATTTCAAAAAATAACTTCATTTGTTTAAAAAAGCTTCTCCCTTCAACTAGCTGCATTTGAATTTTTTCAGCATTACATTCTTTAGTGATCATCAGAACAAAAGTAAAGGAAGAGAATGAAGTTATTCAGTAATCCACCTTTTTCAGTAATCCCAATCCACCTAGCTCAATATTCTGTCTGCAACAGCAACAAATGGCAGAAGCTCAGGGGAAGGAATTAGAGAAACACAGCACACAGACAGGGTTCTTTTACAGATTACTTTTCTAGTTTCCAGCCAGTGCCTTGTAATTACACAACATAACGTTCAGCAGCACCAGGGAAAGCGAATACTCGTCCTCTGCTCACACTTACCATGAGGTATATTCAGCACACTTAATCCTACTGCTTTTGCAGGCTGAAAGTATCCTTATCTATTTAGGCTATCCTCACACAGACGATGCTCTCTATCTCTCAGCATCTTTACTGCCATTATTTATACTCCTGCAAGTATTAATTTTAAGATGAGGACATAAAAAACTCCATGCAAGATGTATAAAAAGCTTTGTTTTCTAAGCAAGTATTATAAAAAGCAAGATTTCTTTGTCTTATTACCATTAAATGGACATCCTCTACAAAATTCCTTCATACTGACTCCAGGAGCAATTTCTAGAGCACAACAGCTCATTTACAACCCAATATTAAACATGTAAATATATGTAAATAGTTGAGGTTGGTTTTTTCACAGGCATTGCATACTATGCAGTTTGCACACTTCTTCTTCATTCAAAATTAACTCAAAAAAAGGAAAAAAAATCTTCTTTGTAAAAGCTAAATAAATGTTTCTTTGATGAAAGCATCCAGCAATTACTTTTTGCACTGACACAACATCATGCTCACATTGGCTTAAACTTCACAGCTGCGTTTCTCAACACAAGGTGCACACAGCAACCTGGTTTGCTTTAGTTCGTATGAGATTGCCAAGGTCTGGCACTCAGTGGTTACTCTGAGTAATGGCAGGGGCCAACGTACCTGAAAGGTTGAGGTCTGCAAGAACCACGTTTGTCAGGAAGCCGTGCATATCAAAATGAATTCTGCCATTCTTCACGCTGCCCGTAATAATGGACTTCACAGAGCCCAGCGCCAGCATACAAGCTTCGTGTATTTTCCACCTGCGAAAGAATTCAGATGCCTTTAGGTTTTTCAATAACTAAATCAAAATTCTGAAGCGAAACCATGAAATTTTTTTTGGTCTAAGCGACCACAACTGTTCTCTTGATCCCAAACCAGAGAATTTTAAAAGGCCCTGAAAGAACCGAACATTTGCAAAACTCAGCAAGTTGGGCCTTGGAAACTCACCCAGGATAGGCAGCATTCTCAAGCACTTTCTAAAATACCAGTTGAACAGTTGTTATTTCTTGTACCAATTCTATTTCCATATTAAAAAAAGGAATGAGACTTTTCTATGAAGCCTGACATCTCCAGCTGGGCCTTGACTACTCTATATGCAGAAACTCTGTGATACCCAGTACATTAAAGACTAAAGAATGTCGATTTTTGCACTGCATTTTGTTAATTATAATGAAATAGGGTTCTGGGCAAATACCACTTCTACTTGGTTTTATTTGTGAAGCAAATAACCTGCTTTAAACTCATCACAATTGAAGCAGATGGGGACTCAGTGTCTGATTTCTCTGACATTCAGTTGCTGCTTGCTGTACAGAGCTGCTGGTCTAGAGTGGCACTCATATTCAAAAGAAACACAAACACTGAACTAATGCACAGTAAAACCAAGGGAGAAGTTACAGACCACCACCAGGTACTCCTGCAGTTGAGCTTTCTCCTCCTATCCCCAAATAACATTAAAAATTGCAACTTTGAAGATCTAAAGTTGAATGCATACACCTGCAAACTGTACCTACAGTATCTCTTCTTTACATCAAGTAAAAGAAGATATGCCTGAAATTTTACACTGAAATTAACTGAACAGAAAGTGAAAGCATTGCCAATTTCTCTTCAGGCTGTGTGTAACTCATTACAGTTTCCAACGATATATGTTAAGGAATTGTCAGGGTCTGGAGCGAGGGAGCCTGAGCACAGCAACCTTGTGCTAGGAATTGCTGAAAGGACTCCACAGGACGACGTTGTCATCGGGCTCAAGCACCACCAGACTTCCTTTTTCTTCTTCTAACCAGAATTTTTAAATTCCATCCTTGTCCATCAGTAGCAGTGTTATGAAAAAAAAGGTGATTAAATTGTGTGGCACCCAGTGCTGCCAAGCGCTTGCCATTCGTGGCAGTGCCGTTCCCTGCTGCCCCTCTCCTTACCAGTGCTCAGCACCGTTGTTTTTTGCCTGCTCAGCTTCCTGCAAATGTCTCGTAGCTGCTGCAGCCAGAGCAGTTGCACTCTCGTTCTGGAAATCAGCAGCCACAGCCTGCGCAGAAGGAAACGGTAACTCTCAATGGTACAGATTTATACAAGTTGGCCTTTCCTCCAAACGCCCTTCATGAAGCTACATTTAATATTTGCCATTATTATTTTGGTAGCATCTAAACGTAGGACACATTTCATACCAGCAGCAGATCCTGGGCAGCAATCCTCACTGTATAGGAAAAAGTATCATCATCTTCATCCTCCACAAACTGCTGGGGATTTGCAGTCCAAACTTTTATCTGCAACAGAAAGGAGACAAGGATAGGGTGGGTGACTAATTCCCAATACCAAGTGTAAAAGAGAGGTCTTCTGTTCTCAGTAATCTCAGTTTTGCAAAACTACTTTCGGAATTTTTCTCTGCCATAAGAAGTCCGTCTTCAACTGATTTTTCTTATATCCTACTGGAGAAACCTTTGAAAATAAGACACCGTCTCTGTTCCGAGCTCATCTTGCTCTTCTACTCCTCATCTGAGACCAGAATTTGACAGAACCAATGTCTGACCTGGATTCAATGCTACATGCTTTTATTTATAGATGAGGAATAGGAGAAGCAGATAAATCTTTAACAGAGTGCCTGTTTTTATGCATGCCTCCCCAAACAAAATGACATCTCTCAAGCTTGGGAGGCCAGCAGCCATGGAGAATTTCAGTACAAATCATTTCACACCACTAGCACAATTTTTTCACTATCACAGAAACCTGGCTATCCCTTTCAGCACAGAATCACATAATATTAGGAGTTGGAAGGGACCTCGAAAGCTCCTCCAGTTCAACCACTGCCACAGCAGGATCACCAGAGCAGTCACACAGGAACACGGCCAGGGCTTTGGGTGTCTCCAGACAAGGAGACTCCACAACCTCTCTGGGCAGCCTGGGCCATGCTCCATAACCTTTACAGTAAAAATGTTGTTCCTTATGTTCACATGAACCTCCCGTGCTCCAGCTTGGGACCATTGCCCCTTGTCCTGGCATTGGACATCCCAGACCAGAGTTTGGCTCCTTCCTCCTGACACTGCCCTTTCCAAATTGATCCCCATGAATGAGGGCACCCCTCAGTCTCCTCTGCTTCAAGCTCAAGAGCCCCAGCTCCCTCAGCCGCTCCTCAGCAGGAGATGCTCCACTCCCTCCAGCATCTTTGTGGCCCTGCTGGACTCTTTCAAGCAGTTCCTGTCCTTCTGGAGCTGAGGGCCCAGAACTGGACGCAATATTCCAGATGTGGTCTCACCAGGGCAGAGCAAAGGGGGAGGAGAACCACTCTGCCCTACAACCACCCCCCTCCTGATACACCCCAGGATGCCATTGGCCTTCTTGGCCACAAGGGCACAGTGCTGGCTCAATAATCCTCATTTTCACAGCATAATACTTGAGAGTGTTGGGATTGTTCAGCCTGGAGAGGAGGAAGGCTCCAGGGAGACCTCACTGCAGCCCTTCAATATGTAAAGAGGGCTTATAAGAAAGATGGAGACTTTTTACCAGGACAAGGGGCAACCGTTTTAAACTGAAAGAGGGTAGATTTAGATTAGATATATGGAAGAAACTCTTTACTATGAGGGTGCTGAGACGCTGGAATATGTTGCCCAGAGAAGCTGTGGATGCCCCAGCATTGGAAGGGTTCAAGGTCAGGTTGGACAAGGCTTTGAGCAGCCTGATCCAGTGAAAGTCTGGGGGGTTGGACTGAGATCTGAAGGTCCCTTTCAGCCCAAACCATTCTGTGATTCTGTGATTTGCTGTCCACGTTACACCATTGAGGAACATTTGGACACCACTGCCTTAACTCCTGGCACAGCAGAGTGACAGAACAGCCCATCAGATTACAGCAGCTTTCACACACTGAAACTCTTCCTAGGACATCCGACATTTTAAATCTCTTATTTGCTTCCTACACAAGACAAACACGCTCACCTGCTCCTCTGTGATCTGCATATAAAGGAGGATGTAATAGATCAGCTCTGGCAAAGCCTTCTTCACTGTGCTCTTAAATTTGTTGTTTTCCAGCAAGGCATGGACAAATTCAAATATGCTGAACACCAGGTTTTCAAAGCCCAGTACTTCACCTGAACAAAGAAGTGGGGAAAAAAGAAGAACATGACTGAATATGCCTAACACACAGAAAGGCAGAAGTGAAATCAAAAACCGTGACTAAACATGCTAACATACAGAAAGGTATAAATGGTGTCAGATGCAATTACAAGCAGCTATCCTGTCCGATGAGATGATGTTTACTCTTACTCCTGGAGTAGCAATGGCAGCAGCAGCCCCGGGACACCACCTGACTTTATCATTTTCTGCTCTCTTCCCACTTCACCACAGACCCCTCACTAAAACTGAGCAATCTCAACCTAAAACTTGCTTGGTTTTCTTTTGTCCCATTACTTTTACTCCAAAATTGTTGCAGAACTCACACCTTGAGTGATTAGAAAACCTGAATTACGCAGCTTCATTGATCACAATCACATGTAACTTGCAAAGAAGCGACAGACAGAGTTGTAACACCATAAATGCACCTTTAAGCATGATCTACAGTGCTTCAGGCACTGTTTTGACAACAGTAATATTCAGTAAGTACATTCCTCTTCAAAAGGGAAGGTAAAAGCACAGTTTAACAAGTTCTTACCATCAGAATCCACAGGGTCCTCCACCTCTTCTGTGTAATTTACTTCCGTTCTCACATAAGTGGCCAGAGTTAAGTAAATACGCACGTTTCTGAAGAACCGCATCTATTTAGGAATTAAACTGCTCCTACCTTTAAATTCCTGATAACTAGGAAAGTTTTCTTTCTCAAAAAATCTTTGACTTTACATCCAGTCCTGTGTTTCAGAGAGATGCCAAGGCCCAGCAGCTCCTGGCTTTGTGCACTGCCCAACTTCAAAGACCACTTCTGTATCACTTCAGTCCGTCCTTTAGGTCATTTGATTCACTTAAACCAAATCCTCCAAGGGAACCCAAAACTTCATTTATGTTAAAACCTTGCAAAAACGGAACCACTCAGACTCAACTCTCCCCAGGGGACAAAGAGCCAATTCCACACTTCATCGCTGCCGAAGGCTGAGGAGCTGCCCCATGGTCCCTGGTCCTGTCCTACATCGGCTCTGCTCCTCCTCAGGCTTCTCCGTGAGCCTCCAACTCTGACAAGTGGCAGAAAACCAACCTGGGGCTGGAGGGGAAGGAGCTTTCTTTGGGGATGGTGAGTTGAAGCTACAAGAAGGCTCAGTATTCTACAATTACTGTCTCATTATAAAAGGTTAAAAAAGCAACTTTTGGATGAACACTATGGAAAGATTGGACTTGCCAGTTCACAAGCACTGGAAAAGCTACCAACAGAACACCTCTAACATGGCCAATTGTGCAGTGAAGTAATGACCATCATAAAATTCAAAAGGCAAAATGAGTTGAGCAGCAAATGTAAGCAGCCATTAGCACTGCTGGAGCAAGGGATATTGTAGATTCTCCTTTAGCTGAAGTCCTTATGTTGTGACATCTTTTTAAGAAGACAATTTTCACCAGGGTACCAGAACAACGCAGAGTGCAATTCTGCAGCCAGCACAACATGGACACTCACATCATTCATCATATGTGACTTTTAAGCTAAAAAACTTAATGGAGCCTACGATGTAACAGAAATATCTGGTATATCTATGTGCCTATGTTTTGTCACAGCAGACTACACCACGCACCAGCAGTGTCCAGGCTGTTACTGTGTCCAAGACAGAGTTTGCCTTGCTCTATTCCAGCTAAAACAATTAGCACAAAGGATATAAGGCAGCGCTTTCTGTGAGGGTATTCCAGACAATGGGCAGGATCTGCTGCATTGACGAAACCATGTGCTTGGGATAGTTCTTCACAAGTGCCGTCACGGCCTGGAACAAACAGGAGCATCAGTCAGAACTGAAACTGGGAAAACCACCAACCAACACCCAAATCCCAGGCTGCTGTTTCACTGACAACTGAGATAATCCAGTGTCTTCCTGCACTGAGGTCTCCTCTCCCTCCTGACCACGCAGTGCCCTCGCTCGCACAAGCTCTGACAAACAGACCCCTCCTCATATTTGCTCTTTCACAGGGAAGGAAAGGGCTAACGTGAGATGTATGTCTGGAAATGAAGACGATGCAGTGATTTGGTGGTAAGGTCCAGGCTCCAGTCAGAACTTCCATCGCTGCACAGCACTGGGAGGACACAGTCACCACCTGGGAGCTGTCTTGTCCCAGAAAATGAACTCTGATATCAAGTAAAGCCAGAGCACAGCCTATTTCCCACACTACTACACATGCAACAGATGAAATCACCTGCCCAGATCGATTTTCTCCCCCATCTCAGCTGCAGACACTGGCAGCAGTGCCAGCCCAGCACAAGGGCTGTGTTGGGTGCAGCTCAGCACCTCCACAGCAGATGGGGTTTCATGATGCTGATCACCCTGATTTAGGGGAGCCCTTTCACTGACGCTTGCCAAAAAGCTTTTAGGAGCCTCCAGGAGTCAGAGAACCCTCGCTCCACACAACAGACAGCGTCTCCTCCCACAGAGGCACAGCTCCACTCCTTCTGTATTGGTCACAGCAGAGCCCCTCAAACTGCCTGGCTGGCAGTCTCCATGAGACACACAGGTCTAAGTTTTCTACTTACCCAGTATTAAACTTTACAGCTTGTTTATAGCGCAGTAAAGAGCTGCGACAAAAACCAGCCTCCGAAAAAACCCAACCAACCATGCAGGTGCTGGCTGAGGATCTGCTCCTGATCTGCAGGGCTGCTGCAAACTCAACACCCCAGCTATGGCCACAGGAGCATCTAAGGAGACTTGTTCCTATGCCACTGCTTATAAACCCTGTTTTTCTAAGCGACATGCCAAGACAATCCTGCAGGAAGCACTGTTGGAGAATAAAAGTTCTTCCATTCAATAGCTGCCGTTCTACAATGAAAGGCTGCATTTGCAGGTTCACCACTTTCCTGCAGTGCAAATCATGTAAAAAAAGAGCACTTGCTCCTGTCAAATGTTGTATTTCAACCCCAGGCCTCTCATTCTCCCAATTCCCAGTTTGTTTGAGCTACAACAACTGCTCACAGCTCTCCTCCTCTGCCAGCCCCCACGTTCTGCTGCACCATCTCTTAAATCCTCCAGGAAAACCCTTATCCGTCTCTCTTCAGAGCAAAGTCAAGCTGCTCCCCAAGCAGGAGGTGTCATGGCCAAGGCAGCAATAACCGACTGCATCCACACCTGCAGCCTCAGCCACACCAAAATCTTCACGGGGGAGCAATCTGACAGCTCCTGAACCCCTTCCAGCTCCGCTGCCAGCAAACAGCCAACACATCTTCACCGCTGGCTCAGCATCTCCCTACAGTCACTCTGCATTAAAGCCTTTTCTTGCTTCACCTCCTACTTGTGTCTTTAGACAGAGAAGGAATCCTCAAACATGGATAAAAGCTTAAAATGTGCAATGGCCAGCAGCAGGAGAGCTGGCTAAAGCTGAACGTCAGGGTGCAGCACACACAGGTTATGCCCTTAGCTCATAACCCTGTGAAATTCCCCCCCATGACACTGGCCATCACCTCATCTTCCATCCAAGAACAGAGAGCATGATTAATTATTTCTTGAAACTATTTGTTCCAACAGCAGGAAAATTGTAAGCATAACTTCTCTGAGCCACCTAATCTACAGGTGTTGAAAGAACACATTTCAAGCATAAGCAAAGCACCACCACAGCAAGGTTGTAAGATACTTTACAGACTGTTGGTTAATTGTTGCTCTCAGTATAATTACTGCATACTAAGTACATCAGATTTGTAGTCCCTTGCTATGAAATTTGCCTTAACTCTGTCACTCGTCAGGTTTAATCACTGCTTGTCTCTAAACAATCAATAGTGGCACGTTCATCAGCGCTGGAATTGGGATTGGAGAATCCTTCAGTTGCAACCCATTCATCCTGAGAGAATGAATTCATGCTAAACCATCAAACCATTTCATTCATGCTAAACTATCAAACACCACAAATCACACTGCTGGAATTTCATTCTACCTCATGGTTGAAAGTATTTTTGTTGTGGCCAAACTTCCCATCTCCTCCAAGGGGCAAAGGCTCTGATTTTCTTGCTGAGAACTGCTCCCAAACTTGTGACTGTGCTTGGAAAGGCTGGGGGCAAATTACCACTCAGTGGTGACCACGGTGTGACCCAACCTAATGATGATCCTGAAGGGGGTCTAAGCGTCCCTGAGGTCAGCAGATGGGCACACATCAGTAATACTCGTTACAGCTTTCAACGCTGTCCTGCATAACGTTTTCACAGGGAAAACAAGACATTTCAGGTCAGGGCTGCCTCTGATTTCCACTGAGAGCTCCATGAACCCTGAAGTACAAAGATCTCAAGACAGAGAAGGAAAAAAAAATAACCTTCCTATCATTTGCTGCACAGCATTTCATTAAGGACAAAAAGAGAGGATTGAGTTCACATCTGGTGGAAAATGTACTACACAAAAGTCTCAATTCCCTCCTCCATTGCATCAGCATTTCAAGGGGTTCCTGTAATGATCTCATCTGTGGAGCTGGCTTAACTAATCCCTTGAGGTCTCCTGCATTACAATGACTATAAAATCCACTTTTCTGGAAGGGAAGACAATTTACGGGGCTTTCACCTGAATCCCTTTTCCCTTAGAAAACTGGTATCACCAGCTTAGAAACCCTAAGTGACAAAATCACGAATTGCCCTGAGCCCACAGCCAGAATACTCCTCTCTTCACTAAAAGCCTCCTACAAACCCCTTGTCAGCAGCAGATCTTCTGAATTTCCTGTTTAAATCCATACTGATTTTCTGCTGCCACCAATGCCACCCAACACACAACAGTGTATTCAGACTGAAAACCTCTCCTGTGTTGCACCAGTGGCCAAAAGCAGATGCCCACGCACGATTAAGGAACAGACCAAGAATGTGGTGACGTTTCCTCAAATCCTTTCTCAGCCTGTCAGTACTTTCAGGAGACTACTGCTGTGTATCGGTGCAGACACACGAGTACAAACAGCTCCAATTCCAGCAAGCACTGGTACATAAATAACAAAAAAGGCTGCAGAATGCATGAATGCAACAAGAACAGAAGAACTGGTCCATGGTTAGACTGAAACTATCAATTACAACTGCTTTTGCGTAGGCCGAAAACCACTTCTGCTCATTAACCATCCAAATGTATGTATGAGGAACGATATGCAGACATCCTTGAGCTGCAGCATGTGTGCCAATCCATATCACACCCCCAGAGCATCCCCTTCACGTTAGCACTCCTGTACATTACTGTCTTGGGAATCCCAGGGACAGGCAAAGGGAAGAAAAAACGTTGCAAGAAAGACTCTCTCAGCAAAACTCAGCACCATCCTGCCCCAAATCCCCTTCCTTTTGGTGCTGCACAGCAAGAAATGACCTCCTGCTGCTGGCAGTGTGCAATACTGGAAGAGGGGAGATTTAGACTGGATATTAGGCAGAAGTCCTTCCTTGTGAGGTGATGAGGCCCTGGTCCAGGTTGCCCAGAGAAGCTGTGGGTGCCCCCTCCCTGGCAGTGCCCAAGGCCAGGTTGGACGGGGCTGGGAGCAGCCTGGGCTGGTGGAGGTGTCCCTGCCCACGGGGAGTTGGGCCAGGGGGCTGTCAGGTCCCTTCCACCCAAACCATGCTGTGATTCTACACCTGCAACCCCTTACTGAGAGGTGAAGGATGCCATAAGCAGGGCACTGCTGCCTTTAACAACACTAAGAAAACAAGTGACACAACACAGAACTCAGAGGTTGTTGTTGTGTATAAAGTGATAGCATCCTCCCAGCACTTATCTTCATGGCTCCAGTGCAAAGATGCTCATTATGGAAAACTTCTGATGCTTATCTCCAACAACTCTTCCTGATTGCTTTCTCCAGCGCAGGAGGCTGCGTGGGCCTCAGTCACCAACCTCTACTCTGTGACCCATGGCTTGCTCGCCCCAGCACACATGCAAGTACATCAAGGACCTGGATTTGATTCTGCAACTTAGGGGTTTGAGCTTTTCTCTTCTCTCCCATGCTGCAGACAGAGCATCCTACAGCTCCAGTGCTTTGCCCGCTGTCAAGGGTCTCCATACCCACACACTGGCACTCCTGTCCCCACGCTCTGAGCTACGTGCACCCAGGGCTCTGCAACCCAATCCTCTCTTCTCTCTCCAGGAAACCAGAAGAATACAAAGACTTTCCATCTCTCTTTTGCAGAGATAATTTAGCACTAAAGAGCAGGCAAGTTCTAGATAAGCACCTGCACATGAGCTTTTAAAACTTCATTGCAGCAGAACTCTGCATCTTTAGAAAAGACTGAGTACAGCGTCTGAACAAGATGCATCCAAGATGTCTTCTATAGGCAGATAACAAGGACAGCTCCTATGGATCTATCCCTGTGGATCATTTTATGGACAGATCCCTATGGATTTCCTCATAGGTATCTTCAGTACAGGCAGAACAATTTATACCAATCTTCTGTGGCGCTGGGAGCAAAAAAACTTCACTATTCATAACACGAGCAACGCGAGAGGTGACACACACTCAAGTTTCTCTGTTTTCCAGCACATCTGGCAGTGCACCGGCATTCAATTCAGTGTTTCATCAGTCTTCAGTGACTTACCTTTAGGACTTCCATCTTAAAGCCACTATCTGATGTAGGTCCATCAGGGATTTGCAGGGCCTGAACAAAGGCCTCTGTGAACTGCTGCACCACAGGAAAAATCAGGACTTTGGCCGCACCCTGGTTACAATCAACATAAGCACAGGTGAACACTACATACAAAACTCCCCCGTCTGACAAAAAAGAGCACTAGTAGGAACAGAAATTGCACTTTTCTGCTATGAAACCAAAGAGGGACCCATGGCAACTGCAGAACATTGCGAAGTCACATGAAATACTTGTTTCAGACATCACTTTGGCTCTCTCCTCATGCTGGGAACTAAGCTCAGCTGAATCCCACCCTTCAAAACCGCACAGCACAGACTGCTACAAAACACACCTATGTCTGAGTAACTTCATACACAGAGATCCAGACAATCCAGTCAGGAGCCTCAGGAGCAGTGCACGTCCCCAAGAGGCATCATCATCTGAGCAGGTGAATCAAGCCCTGCACCCTATCACCCAGACCCCCTCCGGGCTCCAAAAGAAACCTGGGGTGACTGTACCACACCCCAGCAATTTAACATTTATCTCCCTCCTGAGCCACCCTCCCCAAAAGCAAACAAGCTTTTCCTGAGCATCAACAGCTGGCCTGAAGATCACCACGATGAGTCTTCCTAGGAAAATGCAGGAAGTATTTTTCCAGATGTCAAAGCACTCCACAAGTGGTGTTTGGCAGAGCAAGCAATGCGGGACAAAAAGAATTTTACTGAAAATATTCCTCAGAACTCCATAGCTAAGACAGTAAAGTTGTATGATTAAATCAACTATGAAATACCACCTTAGTGATTTATCAAAAGATTGCCTCTTTTTCTTTCTTTAATCAAATTTCAACAGAAAAAGCTCTGTATACAATGTAAAGGACACTTTCAGCCCTCCTCCAGAGTAAGACAGTCTGCTGATACACCACCAGTTAAACTTAGTTATGGAAATCAAGTCCCAGTACCAAGGCATGCGCGTAAAGGAGGGAGTTAATCACCTAACGTGTATTAAATTATACCCTGTTCCCCAGAATCACAGCTGACAGGGTACACAATTCCCCAACACTTCACCTTCATAGTAACAATTACTTGGAACCTCACTCAGTTGGAGTTCAACGTATGTTGTAGGGTAAGGTAAACTCTTGCCTTTTCCAATTCCTCCATGTTACAGATCATATGGGCACACGTGGTAAATATCTCCACTGCACGTGACCTTGTGCGAATACCATACACCTAGAAAAACATTTACACAATGTATTATTTAAATAACACATTTTCAATATTATTTAAAACATTTAAATAACGTAACAAGAAACTTTTCCTCTTTAATTTTAATTGTGTCTATTTTTTGCTTTAACTTGATTCCTTTCTGTTTTATCATTGGCTTCAACATTTTACTGAAACACAGCCATGAACCATCACATCACAGCACAATCAGCATAAATCTGGTGTTTCTCTGCTCCAGGAAACATTTCCCTAATTCCATTCAGTACCAACTTAGCAGTGAAGATCTTACCTCTGCCATTGTGAAAATTTTATACATCTCTGGAAGAATAACCGGAGCAACAAGTGGCATCTGTGTGTCCGTCACCTCCCGTGTAAACTCTAGAAAATGGAACAGGAAGTGATGTTCTTAGAAGAAAACAAATTTATAGAGAACTGCAACATCAGAATCTTGGGGAAACACTCAGCATATTGGAAACGCGTTGATTTGTACTTGACTAAAGCAGCGTCATCTGGCCTACCCGTGGCTTCTGCTTGAAGGCAAGCAGAAAAATATCAGACTAAAAACTGCAGCATCCGGAAATGGAGTCACAAAGTTCCTTCTGAGCCACAACCTGGAGCACTGAAACTTCTTCCTCAGCTTTCACGACATCTCCTAAGCACGCAATTCAACAGGGACCCACAGCATCACACCCAGCAGAAGAGCAGCAGGACATTTCTCCAATTTGGAGTGAAAGGCAATAGGATACCAAAGCCCAGACCTCTTCCTGCATCAGCCCTGGCAAGGCTCTGGCGTTCCCGTACCTGTAAGCACCCTCATGGCTCCGTGCACTGCGTTCACGTCGCCACTGACCAGCATCTCCATCAAGAGGTTGAAAAGCTCAGGCCAAGCTTCAGGCCAGTCCCAGTGCGCTATCGCTGAAACCGCATAGGCAACGCTCGAGCGCACTTTGCTGATCGATTCTCTCAGCCCGTTGGGGAGGAGCTCCCTAATGGCAACTTTTGCCTGTAGAGAACAGCATTATTTAGCAAAACAGATCTCCAGTCATACAACAATTTAAGTACAAAAAAATGGTTATACCTATGACTGTGTCCTGATATTGATTCATGATTGGTATTACAAAATGAACAACCATGAGGAAAAAAACCCCTCACATGCTACACCCTGTAATTCTTTAATGGAAAACTGCATGGTGTGTTTTAACATACGACTCTTCTCACACAGAGCACTCGGCCAAGCATACAATAAACAGCTCACAGCTGCAATCAGACAGGATGTAGATATCTACATGGAAAACATCCAGAGTGTGCTGAGAGAAATCCCAGCTCCAGTGTCAGGGACTGCGTTTGCTTACTCTGGAAGATTTCAGTAAACAAGAACCAGTCACCAATCCCTGAAGGGACAGGGAAAAATAAAAGGCAGTACTTTTGGGGCATAATCCACAGGATCTATTTCAAGCAACTGCCTCTGGATGGATGAATCATAGCCTGGATGGGAAAGATGATCCAGGACACAGAGGCAAAGGGCTGCAGTCTCTGGTCATTTGAGCTGTTGGATACTTCTACTGAGCAGATTCCTAATGAAACCCAGCAGACCTGGAAACTGAAATCTGTCATGGGAAAACAGCCTTAAAGTCTCAAGCTGAAAAACTCAAGATTTAGGAAATCTCTGAAAAAGGACTGCCAGAATCAGTGTTAGTAAAACTGACAAAGCAGGTCTCCTCTAGTCTCGCTCTTAGAGCAGCAGAAACACCATGGCCAAACTTTTCCTACAGAAATTAGCCCAAGCTTCTCAAGTCTAATATTGTTTTAAGCAACTGAAAACAGATTTTCAAAGTGGAAAAAGTCAGAAAACCCTAACTGAAACCATTAATCCTCATCATACACAATGGCACTGGCACTTCTTTACCTACCTACAAAATTAATATTCTCGATGGATAAAGTGTCACAAAGTAGACAACATGAAACCAAATCTTACCCTTTCTGTGGTCTCTGGAGGTCTAAACTTTTCTGACTGAGAACACCAGTGAGTCTCCACATATTGCTTCAGAATGACGGACGCCAACTGTTTTAGAGAGAGGTCAAAAATCAGTACCAAAACTTGCACCCACGGCACCACCCCTGGCCCATTTGCTCAGACTCCCATCCCATCACGCTGCTGCTTTTGTGGGGCAACAGGGCTTGCCAAAAATGCCAAATCTTTGTGAAATGGACAAAAAAAAAGCTACTGCAGTACAGAGATGGAGCGATGGGCACAGACTGACGGTCACTCATTGAGCAATGATGGCCTGGACAGCACTGACACAAGGCAGCAGCTTTATTTCCCCTCCTCCAAAAAGGCACAAGACAGGGCCCACATGGTAATGAAAGAAATACAGAACCTAAACTTCCTTTTCAGGGAGGAAAACACCGACCAAAAAGCTGCTGCACAGACAACTCGCACTTCTGTGTGCTGATGTCTGCCGTCCAGTGAGCTGTACCCGTTCCCAGTACGGTACTGTCTGGGCACTGGGTTTATTACATCCAAAAAGCACTCTTTGGAAAAAAAGATAAAACTTTATAACACCTGAATAATGTTGAAGGGAGAAGTAATTACTCTAGAGAAAGAGAAAATGGGGAAGCAGTAATGGAAAAATAGCTTCAGTTTTTAACCTGGAAACATGAGAGAATATTTTAAAAATCAAACCACCAAAATTCTTCGTGCAGTTGCAGGTAACCTCACCTGACGGATGGCCAGAGCTCCCTGCGGATCCACAGTCAGTTCTGCTAAATGGACACCAAATTCTGCAAGGAAAAATAAAGTATTTAAAAAAAACAAAACAGTTGGTATCATAACTTTTATTCCCACACAGCAAAACTCATCAAAATTTTTGGAGACAGACATCATACCAACTGAATGACTCATATGTGGGAAGGGGAAGACAATTCCAACGTGTCGCTACTCCAGTGAATCACGAGCATTAATTCTCCCTTGTGCTCTCTGCACAAACTTCATTTATTTTCTCAGCATCTTATTTTTTTTCTCTCGTGGGCAAAAAAATGTTGCAATGCGGGTTAATAACAAGAAAATTACAACTTTTTTTTTAAAAAAAAGTCTTATCTACAATGCAACTTCATTAGTCAAGTCTGTACACGAGGGACGCACGGATAAGATCCGGGATGGGGGAAGATAGAGGTTGTTCCTTTTTGGACAACCTGGGTTCATCCAGAGAGCGATTTGAAAACACGACTTTACCTGTCCCAAAACACAACCCAAACCAGCTCAGAGTGCACCAAGCGTCCTCCTGAGCAAACCCCCCCTACCACCAGGAACCACCTGTGCAATCATCTGGGCTGCGGGACCTTTTCTGGTGATAAATTGGCCCAGAAAAAGCAAGAGCTGCTCTCAGCTGCCAAGGAAGTTCTGTCACAAAGGTGAAATGAAATTGCTTGGACCAACTCTGCTGATGACAGGAAATCAAAACCAGGAAAAGCAGCTTTTGTGGCATGGTAAATTCACATATCTCAATACATTTGCTTAAAATGCTTTCAAATTACATCAGTTTCGCTAGTGATTAAGAAATGCATTTGTGAGGTTTTAGTTCCAGAAACGGGAGCAGGTGTGCCCTGAGGTCCCGCTAGCACAGCCCGACTGCCATGGACACAATAAATGTGCTTACAGCACCCCTGACAAAACGCATTGAAAATTCTTTCCAAAAGGAGCTCTGCAACTTTCCTCAGCAGCACATTCGAGCACTTCCTAAATGCTGTTATCTGAGTTTCTCCCATACCCACCCCACTCCTAAGAGGCTTTTCTGGATGGGAGGTAATTGCCTCTCCCCTTCCCATGCTTACACTGAACATGCCCAGTCCCTTCATCCTTTCCTCATAGATCATGCACGTAAAAAACCAGACAAACCCACTCTACTGCTGCCGCAAAAGTGAGGAGCCCCATCCCGAGATGTACTTAACGCAATACTCTTCACTGCAGCAGTAATTACTCTTCTAGCAGTCTGCACTACTCCAGACCTGCGCATGGCACTGCATTTCAGCCACGCTTTAAAGGGCAGAAATGAACCAAGAAGCCAGAATAAATGTGACGGCTCCACGCAGCTCCAACTCACCACTACAACTCTATTTTGCAATTTTTAAACCTGTTTGCAGATGATTTTTTTACCTTCGCATATGTTACTCTGCACTCGATTTCCAGTATTTTCTTTCAATGACTTCAGGCCATCTCTCTAATTTTCCAATGTATTTGTAATGCTTCTCTGAGCAGACCTCAGTGCTGCTGTTGTGCACCAGAGGTGGACACACAACTGCAGTGACCGAGACCTCTGGCTCAAAAGCCCCTTGGTTTCATAAGACACCACTAACGACTCCACACACAGGTTTTCAGCATGCATCTTAAAAACTGTTACAAAACCTTACATCCTTAACTGATAAATGATCGTTGTGGCAAACTCATATCAGGAATCCGACTGTACTCAGATCTTGCCTGTATAAGCAATAAGCCAGCTCTCCTGTCAAACAAAAATTAGATGGATTTATTGAGAACAGATCATATAAAATAGTATTGGCTGTGCAGCATCTATCCATCCTATTACATTTTAGACACGGACAAGCTGTTTAACGAGCTGGACCAAGAATCCTTCCGGGGACTGACATTACACTGGTGGTGGTTCTGCTCACTGGCTCCTCTTTTCTTAAAGAATTGGTTTATTATTGGGTTTTTCACAGTTGGCTGGGAACTTTCTATCTTTATCATGGATAACTACAGTTCGAATGCATCTCTTCCTAAGTGCTTCCTCCACTTGTATTTCATAGAGTTGAGATATCAGAAACATCAAGTCTTCTTCCCAAGATAAAGTCTGTAAAACCAACAGATCAGAAGCTTTCCACGAAGTGCCTGGCATTAGGGAACACTCAGCAAACTCATTTCCTCCCAGCTCTGCTTCTCCTCTCCATTAACCCCAATATCAGTGAAACCCAACTCTCCTCCTTCACAGCCAAGCTCCATTTACCACATAACCAGTTTATGGCACCTCTCACTTCCAACCTTTTTGAGAAATTAAGCTGTACCAAAGGAGGTCAGCCCAGTGCAGAGCATGGAGGGCAGCAGCAGACACACTAAGAAGAAATACCGAGTACCTCTCTAATGCTTAGCCATAATTTTTACACACGACAAACGTGCTGCTTTGAGGAACTTCTTCAGCATGCATCATGACGCTCCACGACTGCTCCAAAAACACTGCTTTTTTCAGCATACCTTTGAAATCTACTCCTGTATTTTTCCCATTTCTCAGCAAAGGACAGAAAGATTAAGGCAGATCTTCTTTAGCATCCATGCTGGTTTTGGGTATCTCACTTTAAATCCCTTTGCAACTTCTCACTACACTCAGTGTCTGCAGCATTGCACAGTGCAAATAACAGCGTTCACTGCTGTGAATACCCTTTCTTCCTGAAGGTCAGAAATCACATGCCCCAACGTGATATTCTTGTTTCTATTTCCCTGTTAAAAACGTTTTAACATTGAACAGAAATAACTCCTGTTAAAACTGCAGTGCAGTTTATCCATTCACAGGATTTCCACGCATTTGTACCAGTCATCCACTCTACCATAATTCAAGCTACAGCCAAGAGGCTGCCCATAAACCACATCTTATGGCCACGTCTGTAGATTCGCCAGAATCCCTCCTTCCACGGAATACCATAAAATCACACATTCAATGTGGTACCCAGTGCAACACAAAAATCACTCGTGACAAAACACATCAAAACAGTTCTGTCGGGAAGGAGCTGACCAAACCGTGCTGAACTGGTGAAGCACCAAGTGATGCTACAAGTTTCATGCTGTCATTGTACCTACAGCTGTTCTCCTGACACAAACGGACAGCAAATATCATCAGAGAATCAATGGGGTTTTAAGGCATCAAACTAAATGTGCTGAGCCACCTACGCTGGAAGAGAAGACACTAAAACACCATTTACAAGATCCATAAAACCAATATTCAAATCTGAGCTCTCATTCAAATCAAAGCATTGGTTGTCTCCTGCAGTGCTACTCTCAAACAAGATGGACAAGAAACTTTAAAGAGGGTCAGCATGCCCAGATCGACACAAGTCAACGTGCCAAGGTCAGCACCATCTTCACAGCCACCTGCGTATCCCAGCTTCAGGCAACAAATGACCTTGCAAAGGACTCAGCTGAAGATGCATGTTTGTATCCAAGATGTCACAACATAAGCCGCACTGAAGACAGCCAGATAAATGCCTTTTCTACCTGCAAAACAGGCAAATGGAAATACACAATGGAGACAGGCAAAAGAAAGGCAATTCTTCAGCCTGGAGCCACTCGTGCCTCACCACGCTGCCAGAGCACAGGAGCAAACAGCTCAGAGACTGAATGCTGCACCATAAAACACCAAACTTGTTACCTAACCAGGCAAGCGGGCAGTGGTATTTTTCAACTGCGTAAGTAGCTGGCGTTAAATCTCCTTATCAGCATAATTTAAGGAGTATGTTACAGGGACTGCTACTCGTAATGGGGTCAAAGAATAAACCCTTCGATGGACATACCCCGTGCACCCCCTTTGGGGTGACACCGTCCCTGCTCTGATGTCCCTGGAGATGGCCTGGCTGCCGTGCGTGTGCTCTGGTACAGTAAGACCTCGAGAAAGGCACAGGGCAATGTCCTCGAGCTGTATGGCATCAGAGGTGCTGTACAGCGTTGCCTGGATGAAGCAGATAAAGGTGAACAAAAACATCAGCCCCACTCCACTGCAAACGAGTCGATGGCGGAGTCGAGCCAGGTCAGACACACACAGAGCAGCATTGCTCCACAGCCTGGAGCTCCCATTTCTCCTGCCTTCCCCTGGACAGCCACAGACATTGCTTTTATTTATGCTCCATTAACACCTACAGACCACAGAGGTCACCAGGTGAACCTTCAACACTCTGGAGATGGACAATAAGGCATCTCCCATCCACTGGCTGGCAGGAGGTGCCTATTCCCACACCTTCTCAGCAGGCAGAAGACACAGGGAGGAGATTGACTCGCTGGAGACATGTTTGGAAGCTGCTAAAGTGTGATATGGCAGGAAGAAAGTGGCACCATGTCCTTACTGCAGAGCTGACGTCCCGAATTTCTCCAGAACAGCCGTATTGAGGCAGGCAGGAGGCTCCTCCTGGACAGCCTGGGAGCAAACCCAACCGCATTTCTATCCATCCCCCTGTGCAAGCCCTGGCCAGATCCACTGCAGAGCTGCTTCAGGGAGCTTAACTGCATCCTCACAAGAACTGAACCATCCCAACCTGCCTAAACCCTGCGTGGTGGAGCGCGAGCATTAGTGCAGGGCAGCACATGGGGAGAGTCAACTGCTGCATTGGCTTCACAGCATCCCCCAGCCCTGCCTGCCAGCAGCTGCAGAACAGAGGTGAGGGCAGAGCAGTGCTCCCCCACCACAACCCCTCGGCCCGTCTGAAGCAGGAGCTGTACCCAACCAGTGTGGGTAAGGGTTCTCAGGGAGTCTCTTCCTCCAGGAACGTCAAACCATTTCTAAACCATTTCTACCTCTAACATCCAACAGTGATGAGGTCCACAGTGTGCACACTGGGGGAAACAACCCACTTGCATTTGATTCCTTCTCATCTCATGTTAACGTCATGAGAAGCCACAAATAATCACTCCTCACTCACCTTCTCTGTCACTTATGATTTTAGGGTCTCAATCTCTGCTCTTTCCCAGGCAGAAAAGCCAATATATTCATTCCATCTGAGAGCAGTGTTTCCACACCTCTGTGTGT